ATGTAAACGTATAAATAGATATCAGAATCAATTCAATCAATATGTAATAATAAGGTAGTTTGAAAGTTGTTCAAAATAATGTATCCTATTGAAGATGTAAGATGTAAGAAAAATGAATCTTAAATACATATGATAAAAATCATGGAATACTAATCTACGTATACTCTTAATCGATTTATTTATTTTCTCATCAATTTATTTGCATTTCACATATATATGTAAATAACTGAATTTTTAATGTTTAATCCTTCAGTGAACTTGATGTCTCGTATCTCTATATTTTTTTATGCATTATGAATTTCTCTCTAGTATGCATTTTATCTATCTATTAAAGAATTCATAATATTTATCTAATTTAGGAGAAAATTAAAAATGTAATTATAGAATGATCGACTTTTTCATCGTAACGGATTTATTTTATCTATCGACCGATTTTCAGTTAATTAATGGTTTCATTTTGATCTGTTATTTTTATCTTTGATCTCATTTACTGATATTTATTATATGAAATTTAATATCATGTTTATAATATTTAAATTATATGAATTTTATTATTCTATTCACTGCAAATATTTTTACATTATACGAGTGAATAAGAAAACAATAATATTTTATAATTATTATTATAATACATGCCAATAATTTAGATTATAAATTACTCAAGTTTTTATTTTAATTAAAATTTTAACTTTTTAAATATCATATTAAAATTCTCAGAATATTCTTGTTTAATTTCCTTTAGAAATAGTTTTTTTACAGTAATACTTTTTATAAATGGAACTAAATAAATTATACATGGACTATTAATAATTACTTATTTTTACATAATTATATGAAAATAAATTACACGAAATGTTAAAAATTTAAAAATAGATCAAATTTATGTAGAATTTGCATTGATTAACTAATACTTATTTTAGTTATCCATATAAAGAAATTGTGTTAAATATTTGTATATACCAATTTTTACCGAAGGTCTGCATTTTTTTACTACGGGTATCCACTGAAAAGCTGTTACTTATTTGCGTTAAACTAACCTAACATAAAATATACCACAAAATCAGCAAAGCATCTTGGGTATCTACATCGTATAAACGAGATTTCAAAGAAGAAACGGAATACTCAGTAGGGATGAGATTTTGCAAGGGTTCTCAACTGCTACGACGTTCTTCCATTGAGTTACACATAATGCTTAGTAAAGGCCTCTGGCGTCGCGTTGACGGCAATAAATTCACAGACTCGTTAATTCTCTACCTTCTTAGCGTCGACGTTTATGTAAATCGAGAATGCTTCTTTTTAGTCCCTTGCGGGGACTCTTTGTACCCAATGTGATTTAATTAAATTTGATGCTATTTCAGCTATCTACTTATTCTTTGTATGCTGGATGATTATGTAAAAATACGTAGTCATCCAAATAGCCTTATTTATAAAAGCTTAACTTCTGTTAAGTCAAAATGAAACGTGCATTTACGGTTTGTTGTTCAAACATTATATGCTAATCAAATATTTTATAACGTGAGTAAAGTAATAGTTTCAGATAATTAATTGTATCATTTTAATATTATTACAATAGATTTTTACGTAAGTTATAGAAACATTTAAGTTTAGCCAATGTTTAAAATTTACTAAAACATAAAATATAAAGTATTATATTCAAAATACTTAATTTCATAATTTATGAGTAATAAACATCTCGAATTGATTTTGAGAACAAAATTGTAATTCAATTGATGTATTCTTTACTATTATACACTATGATATAAAAATTGTATAGTGTAAAATAATATATACCAAAGGAATACTGTTTTAACTTAATAAACATTTAGTTTAACTACATAATATTTATATTATATATCACATTTATTCTATTAAGCGAATATATTTGTCAATAAAATGAAAATAATTAAATAAGCATCATAAATGTATAAAAAAAAACCTTATTTTCTTCTTACCATATTAATATAAATATTCTACTTATATATTGTTATTTTATCGAAATTTTCTGTACATAGTATGTTGTTGACAAATCGACGGTAATAGTTTATTTTAATTATTAGGTAAGTTTATAATTTCATTCGTTTTATTAGACGTACTACAATATATTTTATATATCAAATAATTAGTACAATAATTTTATTTTCATTGCTTTTATATTTCTAATTTTTTTCACTTTATTGTAAATAATTTTAGCCTTCATTATAAAAATATAATTTTTAATTTGGTAGCTGCTTTATTAAAACACTAATCTACATTCTGTGTTTTTGTAATATAAATATTGAGCATTACATTATTTTCAATTCATTATTTAACTTTTTTAATTATAAATAAATTCTAGTTACTGTTGAATAAAAAATATTATTATTCATTATTTCAATTTGTGATAATATATCTATATAAAAAAGGCGTAGTTAATATAGAAGTAAAATCTTTTACACTTTTGTAGTCAATAAAGTATGATAATTATATTTTGGATGAATATTATACGTAATATTTATACTCCATTTGCATTTTATAGATACACAGCTCCATAGTACTGTATACTATATAATACTTTTCAATTGATTACATTATTTATATTGTTATAAACTTTAGTATATATATATATATATATATAATACAGATATGTAATATAAAATTCATATGTGTTGATTAATATTTGCCTTTATTAAATACCGTAGTATTTTATGAAATTAAAAGCTTCAAAATGAAATACTTAAATGTACTTATACCATTTAAATGTAATATTATAATTATTATACAATTACTGATGAATAATTAATAAAATTTAACTTTATAAAAGAAATGAGACACAAAAATATACTTATAAAATGGAATATGAATGAATAACATATATACCACGTTACATTGAAAAGACAAAAGCGTATGTTTTTAAGATATTCAATTATACGTTAATTTCAAGATTTAAATCCGTTATATTATAAATATAATCTATCGGAAGGTAATTTAAATATAAGAATGAAAAAATTTTTTTTATTTTTTCAATTTTATGAGCATAAATGTAAAATAAGATATGTTTTAATATTAATCATTCATTACTATGATATAAATTTATGAAATCTTTTCAAGCTTAATAAATTGTATAATAGAAAGAGAAAGAATTTTTCTTTAAATTTTATTTATGCTTATCGCCACTTTGTACACAAACATAAGTACACATTTTCAAAAGTAATCAATTTTATGTACACTTTAACTAGAAGATTATATATTACTTTTTATAGCATTAAAAACTCTGAATAAGTTTTTAATTAAGTTTTGATTTAATTATATTTATGTAATGAAACACTAAATAAGACGAAATACAATATTTATTCTACATAATTAAACTACATATTCATATATAAAATGGCATTACACGGATGGATATCACATTTTTTCGGTAATTACTCGTTTTCGGAGTAATAAATTATACATTTTAAATAAAGTTATTTATTGTAGTGTATTTTTTATGTAGTTTTCTTCTTCAAAGTAAAAACGATAAATTTGCAAAGCAATTTTTTATATATTTTTACATTGCTTTAGAAATCTAACTCTTTGTATGCAGCCAAGAGCTAGCTTAAAAGTTTTTCATGTTTGGCCTTATTTAATATTTCGCTTGTTTTCAAACTTATATAAAATACATTACACAATAAAATTTTATTTATACATTGTATAATTTTATAATTATAGATATATAGATATATTAATTATTAATCTATAACATATTAATTCAATATTTAATATATAAATCTATACATTTCGATATTAATTAATATTTATTAATGTATTATGTTTCTAACTAGTACAGTAAATATATTTAATAATATTTATACGAAGAGTACACATAATTAAATGGAAAAGTTAAACTTTGTACTTTAAATATTTTCAACATATTTCTTTTAATACTTAGTTACAGTAATTTTTAATATATATACTTACATTCTTCCTTTATCTTTTAATTGTGTATATTTTGGTTCTAAAATATTAAACTTTAAATATTCAATAAGAATAAAAATTTAGAGGTTGGTTAAAATTATTTTCAAGAAATTAATTTTGTTTCATATTATATAAAAATTTTTATTATTTAATGACAATTAATTAATAATTTAAAAAATTATGATAAAAACTTTTTATATATCATTCTTTTTTATTTTACGTTAATCGCATTTTGTTATTTATTAACCTTAAACAGATTATGAAAATAAATCTAAATATTACTTTTGATACGATTTATAATTAAATAAATCATAATATAATAAAGAATAAAGATTTTTTCAAGCATAACAACTTCATACTAATATTTTTTATTTTATTACTTTTTACATTATATGTTATTATATAATTTTTTGTTTTTTTTTATGCTTTATCTGCAAATTAATTTTGCATAATTTGATTTATACAGACTGTAATTAAAAGAGTTTATATGATTATCCATGCAAATAATGGTATTATGATGTATAGAGAATTACAATTATTTTATTTGCAATAAATTGTTTATAAAATAAATAAATTAATAAATGATTGTATCAAATTGTTTTAATTTCGATCCATGTTTATTAAAATATAATTTTAAATAGATATTCAATAATTATTATTACAATTTATCAAATATTATTTATAGTGAATGAATAAATAATGAAATGGATTTTATAATGCTCAGATGTTCTTTACGTTTATAATAATTCACTACTTCTGGTCGGTACAATTAGATTTGAATAAATAAAACTAGGCCGAAATATAAGATATTGTTGTTAATATTTTTTATGTCAAATTCTTTATGTAGGTTTAAATTATACGAACAAATATCTTATCAATAATTTAATAATTTTTTACCGAGTATATTACGATCTCTTTTTAACTCAATTGGCTATATACCATAGCTGTACACAAAAATATTTTTATTTTTAATATATTTTATTATTACAGACAAAAATATATATTATAAACAAACTGATATTACTTACGAATTACTCTTATCCGTAAAATTTTTATAATTATTACAGGAAAAAGTTTTACGCTAACGATTATGCTTCAAACGTCACCACCTCAAATAGCAACTTTATCTAAGGCTATAAAAGTAACAGTAGATGGGCCAAGAGAACCACGATCAAAAACACGTGAGTTACAATAATAATTTTTTTATTATATTTTTTATTTTTGAAGCAATTAATGGAAAAACAAAAACAACATAGTAATTTGATAGTATTAAAGAAATATCACTACTCATAAAACTATTTTATAATATTAAAACAAAGTTATAAAGTTCATAATATTTAAATAATATGTAAGTAAAGAAAAAGTAAAAAATAAATTAATTATTCAAAAATGAAGCAGTATGAAAATTACATAAACATTAGACATCTTTTCAGGGCATCAGGCGTTTCATCCATTCCATTTTGGGCCTCGATCATTTCATTTTGGACATCTACAGGATCCGTTAGGATTTAAATTGTCTGGTAAGTCAGTACAATTATTTCTTACCAAAGCACATAGATGTAATTTTGAAACCTTCTTTATCTTTTGGACATTTATGACTTTAACTCGTTTAATTTGCTTACTTATTGCAGTTTTCAATCTTCAGTCATTATTATGCAAGATCGTGGGATCTTGTATGATTTCTATATTAAATATTTCCAACCTTTATATATTTATATTTTTGTCTGTTTCTCATACATATACATACGCATGCAATAACTATTAGATTCAACTATATTTATTTAATTTATATAGAATAGAAGTCATATGTAATAATATTCTACAACTACGAAATATTATAGAGAAAGTTTGTACTTCAATATATTAAATAAATAATTTCTACGCCTTTTTATGATTAATAAAATCATCTTCAGAATAGAAATATACATAAAATAATCATGCATTATTAAAATGAGAATATATATAATATTTTATGATAATTGCTATGTGTTTTATAATTACATAATGCAATATATAAAATAAGTACGTATAAGTTTAATTATTAATAATGTTTTTTTAATCTATTGTTTATACCTTTTTCTATACTAGTAATGATAAAATGAAAAACTAATAATTTCAAATATAAGTTTATAGGCTTACCCTAAATTTATTTGTAAAAGAATTGATTGTTATTTTATTTAACTTTATTTTTTAATAAAATAAAATCTAACCAAAAATATTATTCTTATATGTTTAGTTGAATATTAGACTTGTAAAATTACAATTAAAAATCAATTTTTAAATAATAGAAAATATAAAAAATTATATTAAGATATCTTACTAACGCAACAAACTGTATGCAAGTACAGTATCTATTTTCATCATGTGCATTTGTGTTTTTGTACTTTGTCTTCTTTAAGACTAAGTGCATATTCTTCTCTAAGTGCATATATACCTTCCTACTTACTTATCTTTCTAAATTCATTTTTTTTCTATTTTTCTTTTCTCTTTATTCAAGCATTTAAGGTAGTTAAATCTGAATTTTCACGCATTAAAGCTATGCAGCAGCAGAGAAATTGTCATTGCTGTTAAAACAATAATGAAAACACTGCTCAAAATAGAATTGTCCAGTATTTAAAAGGATATTAAGTTCTCATTAGTATCAAAATCTATTTGAAAACTCCTGAATTTTCCCTTTTGATTTAACGCGGAATTTTCAGTTAAAATCACCACTATCGCTAATATGACTCACATCGACATCCATAGGACTCTTCAACTCGACAAAATAATAAATTCTTGTCTTTCGTTTTTCATATTGAAATTATGTATTATACTTGAACGAGAATAATTATTTAATAGAACCTTAGAATAGAGAATATTTAACAAAACCATAGAAATAGAACCTTGTTAACTTTTTGTGTTGTATATTTTATTACATTAATGTAATCTGATAAATGAGATCTAATAATGTTCATAATATCAAATATTCGTTGTACCATTCTTTATTTAGTTAAATTATATATTTTCTGTACAAAAATATAAAATGTAAGTATGCATGTAAACAGCCTTTTTAACGATATTTTTAAATAAAAAAATATCGAATTGACTAAGTCAACAATAACAATATAGCAAGAGATACTACTGATAAAATGAGCTTCTAAGCACTTATTTGTTTTAAAATAATTAATAAAGAAATAACAGAAATATTATATATTAGATATGCAAATAATAGAAATGTTTATTTAAATTGAAATTATTTTAATATTTATTAATTTATTTTAATTAATTAATTATTAATATTTTTTAATGAAAATATATAAACAATAAATAAATACATTATATTTTATAATTTTACAACTTATAAAATATTTTTTTATTAAAAAACAAATATTTTATTTCTTTAAATTACGAATAATAAATTTAATTGTACTATTTTTCATAATGTAATACAACGATATATTAACTATGAACATTTAAAGAGGCAGTCAATAATTTATAAAATATATTTAAAGTAAAATTATGAAATTGTTTTATATAACCATATGTTTATTTCTTTTTAAATCAATTAATCCATAATATTAATGAAGCAAATACTTTTACTTAAATAATTATGTTTAAAATAATGTTTTAAACTGTCGCTTTTGTTGTGAAATAATTGTGTAGTTAGAATTATTATTTTTAATAGATGAACTATTAAAATTATCTTTCAATATACATAACCATATTAAATAACATACTGTATAAAATAAAGTACTTACCTTTTTTTAAAGTTTCAAAACTTTTATTAAAAATAATAAAAATAATAAAAATAAATGTTATTGTTTAATAATTTTCAAGTTTCAGTATAGACAAATATATATTTAAAATTCATATTAAGTGTATTCAAGAAAATAAACATTTATACGTGTACATAATCGGATATAATTGAATTTTGTTCAAGATACTATACTAAGGCAAATATGCTATTCCTCAATCAGATCTAGATAGCATTCACATAATATGTACATACATAATAATGCCTATACATAATACATAATGCATAATACGACTATATTTATAAATAAAGGAATTGAAGAGAGTAGATAGAAGAAGATGATTTAGTATTGATACTGTTGCACCAATAATTTATTGCTTCGATATGATAAGCGGCTTAACAGCACTTCACTCAGCCATACTTTTTCCTCCCACCCTCTCATAATTTATTTCTTTAATTTATTTTCTTTTTGATTTTATTCTATTTATTATTTTGTTTAATCTTTCATATTATTGTTTTTATATTATTAATTCATATTAATGTTTTAAATATTTTCTTAAGTAATAAGCAAACACAAATATAACCAACTGGGTCATCGTTACTTCTTTTTCAAATATTTTTGTTTTAGTAAGAATTAAATAATCATTCAACTTCTGTATGAAGTTCTGTTTTTACACAAATTTATTAAACATTATGGATCTAATTTACTTTATTTTACTGTACTTGTTCTTATTATTTACTTTCATATTTGATATGTTATTATACTTACAGTATTATGTATAATTTAATTTATTTTCATCAAAAAATATTTTTCATTTATTTAGTTATTATTTAATTTTCTTTATTTTTTAAAATTTTATATTTTTAACATTTTTTTCACTTAATTATTTATCTACTTATTATAAAACTTAGTAATCTTTAATATAGTATGTGAATAATATTTAAAAAATATGATAAAATTCAGGTTTTGTAAATTAGAGCAATTAATAAGTATAAGGTGGTTAATAGTGTTATAACCGAATTTCTATTAGTTGGAAATGGAATACCATTGTATAAGAAATAAATTGATTTATTTCTCTTATACAATGGTATCCCATTTCTAGTTGATTTCGGAGCCATATCATCTATGTTCTTTACGGCATATATTATCCAATATTTACCAAGAAGCAGTTTATAGATTGCACTTCTGTTTAGTTTAGCATTGCTAGCATTGGTTATTGGCCAATTAATATTTAAGCTTTGTTAATAGTTTTGTATAAATTGTTGATTTGCATAAAACAATTATTAATTTGATTATTTAAACATTTTTAGCGCAAATCCTGACCGGTATCTTTGTATAAATGTTATTAACATTTGAGACAAAATTTTGTTAATGATAAATTATATTTAAAAAAAGGTAAAAAATTTGTTAAGCAAAGAAATATACCACAAATACTAAATTGAACTTAGAAAAAAAAGCAGTTTAAAAAGGGTGAGAAAGTACAGGAAACAACGTTAAGTGAGAGGCGCGGGTGGATAGAGCAAGACGAAAGGAAGACGCAGATATCCCGGGATACTGGCACTCTAGCATCAGGGGTTGTTAAGGTGTCCATTGAGGTGTAACTAGGGAGATGTTATTAAATTTCGCTCATTCCACCTAAGGCGTACATAGAGCCTTTCGAGCTCACCATGGTCGTACCGGATCGACGGAGTCGAATTTCACGGCTCCCTCATCTTTCGTCCTGTTTCACTCGAAACTCAACTCATGATCTTTTTACTTCTTGAATAGCTTAAGCTATCTTGCTTCTTTCTTGTATTTCTTACAACATTATATTTTTTTATCTTTCATGAGAGGACGATGAGAAAACGCGTACCCTTGTTATCGATCATTTTCAATTTCATTGTCCGATAAAATCTTCTACATTGGTCTAAACTGGGAAAATCGACTAAAGGAAGAATAAAAATATTGTACAAAATATGTTGTCCTTTGCATCCTTATTATAAACATGAAGTTTACATTCAATTAGTTTAAACTTTATTACATACGAATTTAATTAACTCATCCAATATTGAATTGTGAATAATTTAATATAGAAATTATTCAATTGCTACGTACATTAAAAATGATAAATAATTACGTAAGTTTTTGATATTTTTGAAAATTCAAGGTAAATTCTAAGAGTAAATAATCGCATATATGGATGAACACTTTGAGAATTTTAATATAATGATGCTTATATTGAATAAATTATTTAGCATTTTTAATTGGCATTTACATTAATTTTGTTTAAATTCTAACATATTATATCACATTGTTTTATAATGTATTATCTAATATTATATTATTTAATTTTATATCATATTATATTATATTATTTTATATTATAATTTAATAGATACAGTTAACAAATGAAATTTATATTTATGTATATATTATAAATAATATAATAAAAAAACATATTTAAAAAATATTTGTTGATAAAAATTTGAGTTCAAATTTTTGAGTTAATAATCTTATGAAATTTTCATTTTATTACAGAAAAAATATTAAAAAAAATTTTAAAAAAATACCGCATACAATTTATTAATTTACAAATATATTTCTTTTTAAATTTATATTATTATATTTTTTTAATTTTTCATCGTGTAAATATATTATTAATTAAACTTTATGCTTCAATTGTTATAAATGATTCAAAATTAGATATTTTACTTCTATACATACTATAATAAATAAATGTTACTTCTATACGTAATTTAATAAATAGATAATTTCTTTCGATTAATAAATACATATATACTAAATAT